ATGACAATGTAAGGCTGGGTAGGAGGGGAAATTTTGCCACAAAGAGCAGAGCTAGCCAATACACACTTATCAGGGGGTTTGTTCCAGTCTGAACAACTAGGAATAGTTGTTCTATTCTGTTCTAATCTGTAGATTAAGGATTAGAAAAAGATGGCTCCAAGGGCCAAAGTTACAGGAAAAGACAAAGGAGAAAGAAGGCTATGAGTTCATGAATGGTTGAATAAATGAAGCATTTATTAAATGACCTCTGTGTGTAAAGCACTGTGCTAAGTGCACATTTTGGAGATGTTTGAAAGGCCATGAAGAAAGGAAAACATGTCTGGTCCTCCATCTTTTTGGTCACATGACCCCGAGCTACCTATGATACCTATGTGAAATATTCAGTAGGCAATTGGATATGTAGGACTAGAGCTTAGGAAAGAAAAGATTAGATGAGTCTAGTTATATGAATTTGTGACTCATCTGCATGGAAGTTTTAATTGAAGAGAAGAGAGTATAGGACAGAGATTTGGGGTATGCTTGCAGTTACTGGATATGATATGGATGATGCAGCATCAGAGACTGAGAAGGTATAGTCAGGTAGGTAACAGGAAAACCAGAAGAGATTAAGTGGTACCACAACCTAGAGAGGAAGAGTGTATACAGGAGGGAAGGGCGATCCAGCAGTGTCATATGCTGCAAATAAGTCAATAAGGATGAGGATTGAAATGACTATTCAGTTTGGCAGTTAAGAGATCATTGGAAAACAACAAATATTGGAGGAGATGTGGAGAAATTGGGACACTAATGCACTCTTGGTGGAGTGGTATAACCATTCTGGAGAGCAATTTGAAACTATTCCCAAACAGCTAACCAATAAAAAAATGGTAAGTATAGCTGATAGAATGCTACCATTAAAGTGAAGAAAACTTAGGTTCATAAATACTACCTCTAATACTTACATTGGCAATTTACTAAACCTCTCTGAGGCTCAGGTTTCTCATCTGTAAAATGATGGGCCTAGACTCTGTGACTCAAGGTCCCTTATGCCTCTAAATATATGATCCTACAAAAGTAATATACATTTACGTAGCAATTTCAGGTTTGCAAAATATTTTATATATGCTATCTCATTTGACTATCACAATAATCCTGTGAAGGGATGCTATAATTATCCTCATTTTACATATGAAGAAACTGAGGTCAGGAAATGTTAAGTGACTTGGCCAGGGTTATTCCTAACTCCAAATCTATCCATTGTGCCACCTAGCACATATCACTTTATAAATCCATTTTCTTTAGGAAATGGCTAACAGGCTACTGTGTCAATCCTAAGTTTTTATACTCTTCTCTCCGAATCAGCAGTTTTAATCTTTTAAAAAATTTATTTTGATAACTGTATTTCAATATAATCAGTTCCCTTTGTAATTCTCTGTATCCTATTTTATATATTTAAAAACATTATTCTGAGGAGTCCACAGGCTTCATCAGACTGCCAAAAGGGCCCCTACAAGATACACAAAAAAGGTTAAGAACTCTCTCTCTAAAGCTTTCTTCCTGGGACTGTTGGGAAGGATACTGTTGATACTGGCTAAGTTTCTCAGGTTGCATTCCAAATCAATTACTCCATTCTTTGTCCTCTCCACCCCAATTTCTTTTTCATTATCCTAAGGGTGGTCTTTTTAAAGAGGAAGTGCAGAGAAGTGTGAACCATGCAGACCATTCCTCTAAAGAGGGCATCTGGTCCAAAAAAGGGCTGTGAAATACAACTTTCCCCAGAGGCAGGGGCTGGTCTCTCTGCATTGGCTTTCCCTGTTAATATACCACAAAGCACACTGGTTCCTGATGAGGAGGAGTGGTTCTTTTAGCAGTCTGAAATCACTGTAGGGAAATATTCAAGGGCTTGGCTCTTTCACACACTGCCTCTTACAAATTTGTGGAATATGAAGCTGCAGTGAACCTGGCCCTTTGGAGATACTGTATTTGTGTTCTCCTTACCAAGTCACATTGCAGATGTCTCTTGTAAACCGGTTCTGCAACTAAGTAACCCACAACTGAAAGTGGAGAGCACCTGCCTATGCAGTTCAGTACGTTGGTATTAGTCTCCTGATATGACAGAATCTTAGGGCAAGTAAGGTTCTTGAAAAGTCATTTAGGAAACTATCTTTAAAAAAATGTGTGTCCTTATCAGCAAAAAATGAGGGCCATGCATCTCCCCCCCCCAAAATCTGCATATTTATTTATAAGTTATATACATGAACAGTTATAGCAATATATTATATACATTATATTAAAAATACAGAATGGTGTGGATAGAGAGAGAGCCAGAAAGAGCTGGGTTCAGGTCCTGCCGCTGACATTTCTAGGTAGCTGTGTGACCTTGAACAAGTCACAGCCTCTCAGTGCTCCAGACAATTCTCTTAAGACTGTATGTTTCAGTAATTTCCTCATTTGGGAGTTTGCAATGAAATCATAAATCCAGTCTCTATCCTTATAAAATATATATAACACAAAGTAGATATTTAAAAGTATGAGATAATGATGAAATAAATATTTTAAATTTTAAAATATTGTTATACAATATTTTTCTCTCACTAAAATATATATGTTTAATAAGAGCTGTGTGATTGAATATGCATCAACATTTAAAAAAAAATCATGGCTTTGTGATACAGTGATTCAAAGATCTGGTTCTGAATGCATTTTATTTGAATGCTTGGTTTTAATGGCTGTCCCAGGTACCACGTAAAGATGTAGATCCAAATGAAAGAAGTCTGTTATTAAAGTTGTGCTTACTAAATCATGATATTTATTTTTTAATTCCACCCATCAATTATACAAAGATTTTTGTTGAAATTCTGCTAGTAAGTTTTTGTCTTTGGGGGAGGTGTGTGTGTGTGTGCTCTGGAGGGTAGCTTTTTCAGGTGGGGAGAGTAGAGAGCCCCAAGGGAGAAGGCAAGATGCCCTAGTTTCCCGGTGATGGATGGGCTTTGTTTCTCTCCAAACTGTCTGTTGGATTTGTTTGGATATTGGGAGCAGGATTGCATATTTGAGAGGATTCTCTGGTGGGTTACGTGAGCCTCAAGTTCTTTGGTGGGGGCAGCAGTGGCAACAGCGGCCACAGCAGCTTCAGCAGCCACACAACTCCCTCTCACCTCTGGCTAAATGCTGCAGTCTTGGCCTGCTTCTGCTCTGTACTGACTTTCATAGTTGCAGGGCTTGGTCAGCTGCGGTGAGCCGCCCTTATTCTGTGGGTGGGGGAGGTGCAGGAAGAAATTTGTATCCTCAGGAAGCATGTCTAGCTTTGAGGGCCCTTGGAGAACTCCTAAATGGTTGGACCCATTTTATACTATGCTGTGAAGCATATCCATCCCTGAGGATATGAGGATGGATATCCATCATATCATCCCTGAGGGTGAGGCACAGGAAAGGAAAATAATACAATTTGAAAAAAAAAAAAAGGAGGCAAACAAAAAAAGAGAAAATAACCTTAGCTCCTGGGTGCACAGGTTAATGACTCCCAGGGAGGCAGGGTTTCCCAATTTGCATTGCTCCCAGGGCCCTACCGGGAGTTCTAGCAATTTGCTTTCTAGCTCTCCTGGAGGTAGAGTGTAGTATGTGTGAGAATAATACTTTGTCCCATCCCCCCCTGAGGGTGAGGCCCTAGAAGAGTCTCAGCTACAGAAGCAGGGTCTGTCTGTCCCTGTCACACTTCACAGTTCCTGGGATGAGGGTGGTATGCAGAGCCTTGGCCATGGGACATACAAGATGTGAGTGTTGCTGATGTAATGGAGACAGGGTAGGGAAGACATAGATGAATGGGGACTTTCCCAAGTGCTTTCCTGCCTGCCTCTTGGCTTGGGGAAAAGTGCTTATGGCTGGCTGACCTTTCATCCGACAGACAGGTAAAGGAGAGCAGCAGTCAGGCAGCAGCTGCAAGCTCACTGAACAACAGCTGTGCTGCTCTCCTCAGTTCTAACATTTTCTTCATGCGTACCCACTTAATACTCCCTGGTATCTGTGCACTCCACTTTGGAGTCAAAGCTTGGCCCGTTAGAAGAGATATGAGGACTCACCTTCCTCTTTTCTTTGCTAGGGTCAGGGTGAGGGTTTGGGGATGGTTGGGCTTTGGACATCATGGATGTGACACCCTACATATACTATCTGACTTGGTGAATATGTTGGTTAATTTTTCTCAACTACTTTTCCTCTTTTGTAACCTTTGTTATAAGGGATGGTTTTCTAAGTGGTGGTAATGGGGAGGGATATATTTGGAGATGAAGGTGATTAAAAAAGAACTTAAAGGTTTCAATGTTTTTTTTAAAGGTCATCTGGGCTATCCCTCTATCTTCAGGGAAGATCACTCAAATTTTTCTCAAGAGAAGGGTATGAAGCCTAGCTTTATCCATCTCCAGGGAAGGAAATTCTACTCCTCCCACTCTTTATGACCTTTGTCTATAGCCCCAGTCTAGTATTTTATAGCATTTCTTTTGGAGCTCTGCTAAAAGCTGATTGTTTCAGTTTGAAAGAAAGGGAGAATAAATTCATCAGTTCATGTAGTATCCTTACATCTTGTATTTCTTTGCAGAAATTTTCACTGAAAGGCAACATTAAATTTGGAATTTAATGACATGGCTTTTGACTCAACTATTTAACTTCTAGGAATTCACTGCCAAGGAGCTCAAAGAAAGAAAAAAGGAGCTCTTTTTGTGATAGAAAAGACCTGGAAACAAAACAGATGCCTGTCGTATCGGGTAATGGCTAAACAAATGGTGGCACATTAATATAATGGAATATTTGCCATAATAATATCAAAAGTGAATTCAGAGGTGTATGGGAAGACTTATATGAATTGATGCAGAGTAAAGTAGGTAGACCCATGAAAGCAATATTCGTGAGGACTACAACAAAGTAATAGGAAAGAACAACAAAAAAAGAAATTAAATGCTATGTAATCGTAATCAAATTTGGCCCCATCACAGAATTTAGAAAATGCACCTCTTTTCCTTCTTTGCAGAAGTAGACCTCTATGCATGTGGAATATTGGATATACTGTCAGACTCAGCTGATACATTGGTAAGTTTTGCTGAACTTTTTTTCTCTTCCTTTATTATTATTTTTTAAAATAAGAGTTGACTTGTTGAGTGGAAGAGGTATATTTGGAAATGAATGTGAAGTAAAAACAAAAAAATTAATAAAAATAATACAATTTTAAAAAAGAAATAAAGAAAGGAAATACAACTATAACCACTGGGTATCCAGATTAATGACATATGTCTTAACTTGGAACATGATGTATGTTACTCAGTTCTAATTAATCAATCAGACAACCAACAAATGTTAATCAGGCATTCTTCCAGGTACCAGGTACTGTGCTGGGTGCTAAGGATATAAAGACAAAAGTGAAAGTCTCTGTCCTCTGGGAGCTTATATTACAGTAGCAGAAATGTTGCAGAAAACCAGGTTCATAAAGACAATACAAATTTTTCAAATGTCCAGCTCTCAAGAGTGGCAAGGAAAAATATATATGTTTATATCAAAGGTCTTTAAATCTCCTTTAAGAATTTAGAAAAGAAGGAGCAGCTAAGTGGTGCAGTGGATAGAGCTCTGGTCTTAGAGTCAGGAGGACCTGAGTTCAATCCAGTCTCAGACACATGACACTAGCTGTGTGACCCTGGGCAAGTCACTTAACCCCGATTGCCTCACCAAAAAGCAAGAAAAAAACATTTAGAAGAGAGGTTGGTGATACTTACATGAACAACAGGACCAATTCTTTTGCATGGACCACACCATTTTGCTGAGAAGTCAACAACAACAAGTTTGGAACCAGCATTCTTCAGAAAGTTCTCAAATTCCCTCTGAAACAAGCACATAAATGAGGAAATGTGTTTAGTATCTATACATGAGTTGCAGAATCAAGGAACTAGAAGAAAGGACCTCTGTTATTCAATCATTTCAGTCATGTCTGACTCTTGGTCCCCATTTGGGATCCTCTTGGCAAAAACACTGGAATGGTTTGCCATTTCCTTTTCCAGCTCATTTTACAGATGAGGAAACTGAGGCAAACAGGGTTAAGTGACTTGCCCAGGGTCACACAGCTAGTAAGTGTTTGAAGCCAGATTTAAAGTACAGGAAGATAAACTTTCCTGACTTCAGGCCTGATACTCTATCCACTGCACCACCTAGCTGCCACTAGGGAAAGAACCTTAGAGATCATTATTTTACAAATGAGGAAACTGAGGGCTACAAGGTAATATGACCTGCCTAACATCACACAGATAGTAAATTCATAATTTTTGTACCTGTTGTCTACCTCAATAGGATGTAAAAAGCCTTACATAAATGTCTAGCACATAATAGGTGCTTAATAAATAAATGCTTATTAGTAGCAGAACCCAGCCTAAAGCCGTCTCCTTATTTCTACTGGAGTGCACTATCAACTGCATGACACTGCCACAATTTTGCAGAGAGGATTAATAATAAAATTTTTCCCTTCTAAAATTTTCACTGGTTTCCCCCATAATGGACCAGCTACCAGCATATAGGAGAGGTCTGAAAAAGAACAGAGCTAATGCTTAGGGTCATTCATGTATTTGAATTCATGTATGTATTTTTTGTACTATCATGTAAATGGCAGTTAATAAAAACCATAAATTTGAGCATTTTTCCCAGGACTCATATATGTTTTAACTGAATATGTGAACTTGGAGAAGAGGCATTTTTAAAAACATCTGCTAAAGCCCAATGAACTCCTTTTGATTGGCATTAATAAACACCCTTTGCTATAGTATAAGCCAGGTTTCCTTAACTTTGATGAGTTTTACATAGATCCAGAGAACAAAAGGCCCAAACCCTTCCTAGCAATGTAATTTCCCAAAGAAATCAGGAGAATATGAAACTGAAGAAACGGGTAAAAACCAGAAACAATAATAGAGACAGTATTCAAAACATTCATTCATTGACTTTTTCAAAGGGACAGAACATAGTAGTTACTGGCAAATTAGGTGGCACAGTGGATAGATAAATAGTGTGCCAGACCTGGAGTCAGGAAGGCATCTCCCTGACTTCAAATCTGACCTCAGACACTTACTAGCTTTGTGACCCTGGGCAAGGCACTTAACCCTGTTTGCTTCAGTTTCTTCATCTGTAAAACGAACTAGAGAAAGAAATGGCAAACCAACTTTCCACTTTGCCAAGAAAATCCCAAATGAGGTCATGAAAAGTTAGACATGATTGAAACAACTGAACAACAACAACAAATATCCCTTGAAGTGGAAGCGGGCTTGGTAGAGGTGACTGGCAAAATAATTGTAATCAACATTACCACGAGGAGATGGTTTTTAGAGTCTTAGAATACTAGCAGTAAAGAGAGTCAACAGTAGGGACTAGGATTTTGAAAATAGACCTTTAGCATTTGCACCAAAAGTTGTTGAACTCTGTCAATTAAATTTGAAAAATATTTATTATTTATTATTATTAGAAGAGGCAGTGTGTTATAGTGGACAGGGGACCAGCCTTGGAGACATGAAGGCCTATGTCTAAGTCCTGACTGTCTAATTATATAAGCAATTTAAATGTATCATCTCATTTGATTCTCACAGCAGCCTTCCCAAGCAAGTACTGTAGATATTATTATTGGCATTTGAAACTGAGACTAAGAAAAGTGATGTGGCTTTCCAAGGGTTACACAGTTAAGAGTAAGTACCTTAGTCTATGTTTGAATTTAGGTCTTTCTGATTCTTAAGTCTAACACTACAACTACAATGCCATAATAAATACTAGCTAGGCTAGTCATTTAACCTCTCAGTGGTTCAGGCAACTCTCTAAAATCATAATTTACAAATAAATGTCTAATCTGCACAGATGAAGGGATTTTCCAAACTGGGAGTTCTCACACACCAGTGAAATCATAAAGCCAGATCCTTCCCACCCCCACTTTTTTTTTTTAATTTGAGAGTTACTGTGCTAGGCACTGGGGTTACAAAAAGTAGATGTGAAATACACACCATCTCAAAGAGCTTACAAATAAATTAGAGATGAGAATGGGGGAGTTTGAGGATAGTGGTGGTGATTGTAGTGGTAACAGGGAAAAGACTCATTCCAATAACCATAATATGAAAGAAAGATCTAAGTGCTTTGAGAAATTTGAAGATAAAAGGATCACTTTTAGCTAGGGGAGAAAAGCAAGATTTAACTGCCTCAATTTTACCTTAACCCTTGAGCTAATGGTCAATGGGTTATGTATTTGATACAATAGGAACTCAGATAAAAAGTAAAAAGAAGAAAACAAAATTACTATTGGGTAATTGGCCTCTTGGATAATTTTTATGGGAACTATTTCTTCAGGACAGTCTATCAGAAATAAATGTACAATGGAAAAAATGCTGGGGCTGGGATCAGAGGACCTTTATTTGAATGCTGCCTTTGACGCTTATTACCTGTGTGACCTTGGGCAAATCACTTGTATACCCCACGCCTCAGTTTCCTTATTGGCTAGAGGAGACAAACTAAATGGTTTCTGAGGTTCCTGCCAACTCTAATTTCTATGATTTTATGATCCTATGATCTTTGCTGCCTAACTAATAGCTTTGCAATAGCATTCAATTCAATTTAAAAGATATTTGAGAGCCTCCTATGTGAAAAGCCCTGTCTCATGCATTTCCACGAGAATCATTGACTACTGCACTAGGAAAACATTCCTAAGTCTATCAAATGTCTTTCTCTTTTCTCTTCTGCAGGGTACCCAAAGTAAAGGTCTTTAAGAAACAGCTGCTCAAGCCAAATACTTACCATGTTTTTAATGCTCTGCATAATGATTGCCAAGGGAAACAAACTGCAGACTAAGTTTGCTCACTGTTTCCAACGCTGACAATTGTAGGCTCCTTGTTAAATAGTCAAGCTTGAGGTTTCTGTGACATCACCACACACATCATCTTAGAACCTAGAACTTCAGTGGACTTTGGATCCATTTTACTGTTGTGCTGTGACTTGGCTAAGTGGAGCTCAAAGAAGAAAGGTCTTTCAATTTCTATTTCAGGCTTTCTTGACGGCCTCAGCAGTAGCCTAGGCTTGACCAGCTTTCCTAAAACCTTCCTATGTCCTGGGGAAGTGAATGAATAAAAGTGAGAAAATGGTCCACACATCATAGGATTCTTTTTGCAGTTGAGAAACACACCCTAAAGTCATAATTATAGTATATAATAAGATTTCCATGGTATTATGACTCAAACATAGACCTTCTGTAGAAGGAATCTCACTATTTTACTCAAAGTTGTGTAACCAAAAAGAGAACTGCTTTGACAATGCTTTTAATTTCTCAGAACTCATTGAATGTTAGAGAAACATGAAAGGAAGCTAACTCCTTTCTGATTATGATAAGATTTTCCACAGATGATAGACAATGTGGTTGGAATATATTTGGCTCAGAATTATGAAATTCTGAACTTTGGCTCCAAAAAGCTTGAAGTAATTTTAAAACATGCGAATGCCCAGAAGAAACCCCTTTGCCCTTAATGACAGCTCTAGTAATGTCTTTTGAATGCTTTGCTCATAATCTTGAGAGGCTATCCTTTCTTATTTAAACCAAAAGCTCCTATTTTCATCTCCAGAATTGGAGATTTTCTCTACACTGAGCTGCTTTTGACCTAAGATGTATCCATAACACCAAAATTACCCTTTACTACTCACCTTGGCCTCCTCTGACACCTTTATCTGTTTGGGAGATTCTGAGAAGTGAATCTTGGTGCTCCCAAATCATTTAAGACTAGTCAAGATTCATTCTCAGATGAAGCAGATTTTTTTCTTTCTTTTTTTTAAATAGTATTTTATTTTTTCCAATTACATGTAAAGACAATTTTCAACATTCATTTTTTATAAGATTCCGAGTTCCACATTTTTTCTCTCTTCTTCCCCCTGCTCCCCAAGATGGTAAACAATCTGATATAGCTTATACATGTGCAATCATATAAAACAGATATGAAGCAGATTTCTACAGCAGAGGTGTCAAACACATGGCCCAGAACACTCCCAAGTGTGTCAAAACCAGATTAAGATGTAATTGGGAAATATTTGACAAAATAAATAAAAATACAACAAAACATAGGTAATGTTAATATGTGGTTTTCTAAGTCAATATGTGGTCCTCAGAGTCCTTATATATAATTTAGTGGCCTCCATTTCTATTTGGGTTGTCAGCTGGATCAGAACTGGCTTCTAACCGGTGGGTGGCTGGAGCCAAACAGAACAGGCTAGAGACAAGAGAGTCAGGACACAAACAGAAGTTTAATTAATTTCAGAGTGAGGAAAATGACATATGCATATGGAAACCTCCTGCCCCTCAAGAAGGAGGCTTAAGGCTGCTGATGCTGGGACCACATAAAAGGGGTGGGCCCATAACATAGTTAGTCTTAGATCTTGCAATAGCTCTCATGGTTAGCATTTCTTGGGTCCCATGGTAACAGTCATTGTTTTAAGTCTTAGGGGTTGTGGCCACCCTGCCAGGCTATACAGTACCTGTCAGGAGTATAGTACCTGTCAGTGACAAGTAACAGGGAACATGTGATGGATGGCCCTGGGAAATAGAGGGAGCTAAATTCCTCAGTGAACACCTGGTGCTGGTCTAAGCAATATACTTTGCCAGAGGGTGATGTCTTGCTGAGCGCAAGGGATTATTGGTATGCCATGCTCAGGGCACAGCCTGCTTGTTAGGCCTTACCTCTGGAGAACAGGGTATCTCCAAAAAATTTTGACAGGGTTTGACACCTCTGGTTTATAAGATAGGAACCTTCTTTCCACTTTTAGAACAATGCCAGTCGACTAAATAACTCTGAAGTTATGTCCCCTCCCCCCATTAGTGCACATCAGGTATCTTTTTGGAAACCAAGCAGAATCCAAAAACTCTGCAGCCAGGTTGTGAAGGGCTTTAAATCCCAAACAAAAGACTTTGTATTTGATGGTGGTTTGAATAGGGAAACACTGAGCAAGGGAGTGACCTGTGCTTTGACCATATCTTTGTCAGCTGTGTGGAAGACATAGCGGTGAGAAATTTGAGGCAGGGAGACCAATTAAGGGTTGTTGCAATAGTCCTGATGAGAGGTGGTGATGGGTTGAACTAGGGTGGTGCCCCTGTAAATGGAGAGAAGTGGGGAGGGATGTGGGAGATGTCATTCAAGCAGAACTGACAAGACTTATGAGACATTGTGGATGACGCTGGTGATGGTAGAGGAGTTCAGGACCCAGAATTTCTTACTCCATCACTGCTCATAATGATTCATAGTGTATTTTGGGCTTTATCATAGTTACATTTGGTTGAAAGCTTGTCTTTTGAGCATTCAGATTTATTTGACTACAAGATATTTAAGTCATATATCTAGTGATCCTATGTGACATTTCCTTCTCTTGGCTTGTCAGTCTTACCTGTTCTGTACTTGTTTCAATGACTGTTTTCTAATGTTATTGCTTGAGGTGGGCCAGGGTAGGTACTAGCCAGCCCTCAGTCAATCCCCAGTCAAGCGAGATCCACTTGTTAGCAACAGGCCTGAGACAATGATAGGCCTTAAGTGAAGTTGGTGATTGATTAATAGCAGAGTTTGCTCAGGCTTGGAGAAAATCAGGCAGGGTGGGGACAGAGAACATTTGATCTTGAAGAGAGATGGGGTAGTCTTGGCAGGCTTGGAACCTTGCAAAATGCTCCCAGGATCAAAGTGATGTAGGTTCCAAGGCTTTCAGATCAAGTTGAGGTCCTTTGCTGGGCATTCCAAGTCAAAGGTCCGGCAGGGAGGAGGGAAGCATACCTGAAGGTTACCTTCAGAAGAGAGATGTACAACCTGGGTAACTTATCAAGACACTGGAAACAAATGACTAGAAGTAGAAAAGAGGCAGCTTTAAACTCAGAGTAAGGAAAACCCTTCTGGTCATTAGAGCTGCCTAAGTCACTTATTCCTGTATACCTCAGTCCCTCAACTGTAAAATGAGCCGGAAAAGGAAATGGCAAACCGCTCCAGTATCTTTGACAAGAAAACTCCAAATGGGGTCACAAAGAGTTGGACACGACTGAAATGATTCAACAACAACAACAACAAGAGTGGAACAGGATGCTGTAACCTACACCACTGCCGGGGGATAACCAATTATGTGTATGCTGACAGAAGCACATGAGAATTGTGTTTCTCAATGCATCCAAACGAACTTGATTGATCAGAGCATGCAAGTAATACCCTATAAGAACAAACCACTAACCTGGCTTCTTAGAGTTCCCTTTATGCATACAGGAACTGGACAAGTTTCCCCAGCTGGATGACAGAGGTCAAATGTCTCCCTTTGGGATGATCCACTGGCAAATCTCAGTCAACCAATAATCGATGCTTTTGAGCGAACCCCAACTTGCTCGAATATCAAGTATGGGGAACACAGGAGCCAGCTCTCATCATGCCCTAGGAACAGACTGATGACTGGGTTCTCAGGTAGGTTTTCTCTACTTTTAGCTATGGTATTTAGGTATTCCTAAATTTTCTTCAAAATCACTGATAAAGTTGCTTATGATATTTTTTCATTGATGGTTTGTTTTGTCATAAGGTCAATATGTGTTTATCAGTTGTTTTAAGACCATGCACATGTGGCTTACTAGGTCATACCACAAAGGTGCTTATTTTATTGTTTAAAAACAACTTACTGAAAACAGCTCAATCCTAAAATGAAGGCTTAAAAATGGAATCCATTATGGTAGGTTGATGACCTATCTTATTAAGGTAATAGAACTTATTCTCACTACATTATCAATTATGGTTAAGTTGAAGGATGTATTCCTACTATCTTATTCAGGTACTCAAGCTGATTTTCACAATTGCTCTTTCAGGAGATAATGGGTTCCTCCTCATTAGAGGTCTTTAAGTAGATGCCAGATAGCTCACAGATTTCTGTACAAATATGAGTTGGACTGGGTGACCTATGGAGTGAAAAATGCATTGGTTAAAGAGCTAGGGCACTTGGTTTCAAATCTTGCCTCTGATAGAGTGACAGTGACTTAAACTGAGCCTTGCTGGGCCTTAACTACCTCGTCTTTAAAATGAGAGAGCTGAATTAGATTAACTCTTCTTATTTTAGATCTATGATTTCCTAGGTCTCTTCCATTTCAGAGATTCTGTGATTTTGTGCATCAGGGATGGATCTTATCAAAAGTCTGCACTGCATGGTGATCCTTTAAAAGGGTCCCTGAAGCTACTAATGTTCTCCAATTGCAGATTTTAAAATTCTTTACTGGGGAACTGATGCTCAGAAAAATTGGCTTTTAAGGGCAGATGGTTTGCAAATGTATGGTCATTAATTTTTTTTTTCCTCATTAAGCAGTTGTTTTTTTTTTCAGTTTTACACTTTCAGTTTCATTGATGTTTTGTTTTTATGTTACAAACTTTTACAGAATACTCCCTCTTTGTGAAATGTCTCTTGAAACAAAATAGAAATTAGGTAAAACTAATAACACATTGCTCTCATCTGAAAGTGCAGGCAGCACTTGGGTTTCTTCCCTTAAAAACTGACTTCATATCCTTAAACCACTTATTGACTGGAAAATGGCTCTTTTTCATATCAATTTAAATCAGTCCCTTATGCACCTTAAAAATGAGGCTTTTATCAGAGAAGCTTGCTGCCAAGGTTTTTTTGTTTGTGGGTTGGTTGGTTGTTTTTTTGTTTGTTTTTTAACCACTTACTTGTTCTCCTTTATTCTTAGCTTTATTTGATTTTTTTGTGTGTGTGCAAAACTTTAAAAATTTTATTAATCAAAATTATCCTTTTTATTTTCTATTATCTTTCTTTCTTGTTTGGTCATAAATCTTTCTCCTATCTGTATATCAGATATTTTTTCTTCTGATATCTCTAATTAATTTACAATGTGACCTTTAATGTCTAGGCTATATATCCATTTGTTGCTAGTCTTTGTATAAGGTATGAGGTGTTAGTATAAATCTAATTTCTTCCATACTGCTGTGCAATTTTCCTAGAACATTGTGTCAGATAATGAGTCCTTATCCCAGTAGCTGGGGTTTTTGTGTTTATTGAATGCTAAAGTATTAGATACATTTCTTCTGTGTGTTGCATTTTTAATCTCTTCTTCTGGTTGATTTCTTTGTTTCTTAATACCAAACTATAATAATTACTGCTCTGTAGTATACTTCAAGATCTGGCCCTGCTAAGTCTCCTTCATTCCCACATCTTTTCATTACTTCTCTTGAGATTTTTAAACTTTTCTTCCACATGAATTTCATCATTAATTTTTCATACTCTAGAAAGTAATTCTTTGGCAGTTTGGTAAGGCATTGAATAAGTAAATTAATTTGGATACTATTGTCATTCTTGTGATATTAGTTTTTCCTATCACATGAACAACTAATATTTAACCAGTTATTTAGGTTTGGCTTTACTTCTGTAAATAGTTGCTTGTAGTTGTGTCTATATAGTTCTTGTATATATTGTGGAAGGTAGACTCCCACATATTTTATACATTCTGTAGATATTTTGTCTTCTTTGTATAAATCCAACCTTATCTTAATGTATAACCTGATATGTTATTTTAGCCTCTTTGCTAATATTTATTTTTTTGTGTCAATGTTCATTAGGGATATTAGTCTATGGTTTTCTTTCATACACACATATATGTCATAGAAGGAATTTGGTAGGATCATTTATTTTTCTCTTTTTTTTTTGTTTGTTTTTTGTTTTTTAGGCAATTGGGATTAAGTGACTTGCCCAGGGTCACACAGCTAGTAAGTGTCAAGTGTTTGGTCTAAGGCTGGATTTGAACTCAGGTCCTCCTGACTTCAGGGCCGGTGCTCTATTGTGCCACCTAACTGCCCCTCTATTTTTCTCTTTTTGCAAACAATGTATGTAATATTGGAATAAATTATTCTTTGGATGTTTGATGAAGTTCACTTTTGAATCCATCTGATCCTGGAGTTTTTTTCTTTGGAAGTTCATTTATGAGTTTTTAAGTTTCTTCCTCTAAAATTAGGTTGTTTAAATTCTCTACTTCTGGTTCTGGTAGTTAGGGTAATTTATATTTTTGTAAGCATTTATTTCATTTAAATTATTGGTTTTATTGGCATATTAGTTGGGTAAAATCATTTCTAATAATGCTTCTTCATTTGTTGTTAATTCTCCTTTTCATTTTTTTGGTCTTTTTGGTAATTTGGTTTTCCTTTCTCCTTTTTAATCAAACAAAATAATAGCTTATTTTTTTCTTAAACTAACCAGCTCCTAATTTTGTTTATCATTCAATGATTTTTTTCAGTTTTATTAATTTCTTCTTTAGTTTTCAGAATTACTATTTTGATATTTAAATGATGTTTTAAAATTTTATTTTTCTAGTATTTTCTAGTATATTTAGTTGCATTCCCATTCAATTTTATTTTCAGTTCCAGATTCTCTCCCTCCTCCCACCCTTCCCATCAAAAAAACAAGAAATACAAAACTCATTACAAATATGAAATCATGCAAAACAAATTTTTCTGCATTTGCCTTGTTCTGGAAAAAAAGAAAGAAAAGAAAGAGGGGAAAATATGCTTTAATTTGTATTCTGAGTCCATCAGTTCTCCAGATGGAGGTGGATAGCACTTTTCATCAAGAGTCCTTTGGAACTGTGGTAGATCATTGTGTTGATCAGAGTTACTAAGTCTTTCACAGTTTTATAATATTGGTTTGCTGGGGGAGGGGGTTGTATTTTAATTGTATTTTATTTTTCCCCAATTGTATGTCAAAACAATTTTTAGCGCTTATTTTTACAAGACTTTGAGTTCCAAATTTTTCTCCCTCCCTCTCTTTCCTCCCCTCTTCTGAAAATGGTAGGCAATTGTATATAGGTTATACATGTGCTACAGTGTAACAAATATTTCCCTTTTGGTCACAGTTGTGAAAGAAGAAACAGATCAAAAGAAAAAAAAATGCAAATAAGAGTAAAGTGAAAAAAAAATATGCTTCAATTTACATTCAGAGTCCATCAGTCCTTTATCTGGATGTGGATAGCATTTTCCTTCCTGAACCCTTTGTACTTGTATCATTGTGTTGCTGAAAAGAGCTGAGTCATTCATAGTTGATAATTGCACAATGTTGCTGATACCATGTACAGTGTTTTCTTGGTTCTGCTCATTTCACTTTGCATCAGTTCATGCAAGTCTTTCCAGGTTTTTCTGAAATCTATCTGTTCATTGTTTCTTATTGCACAATCGTATTCTATTGCATTCATATACCACAGCTTGTTCAGCC